TCAAGTTCTCCCACAGTGGGCAGCTCTTCATTCTCTCAGTCCCCACCTTTGCCTTCTGCGGCTTGGGTGCTGAGGCTCGAGCACTTGCCGGTGAAGACCGAGGCAAAAAAGTCATTGAGTACCTCTGCTTTCTCCGTGTCCCGGGTAATCAGGTCTCCCGTTTTGTTCTGGAGAGGGCCCACATTTTTCCTTGTGTTCCTTTTCTCCCCGACGTACCTATAGAAAACAGGAGATGAAGTATTTGCTTGGTGTCCAAAAGAGCATGCTTTGATACTATCCCTGTTAAAAAAAAAAAAAAACAAACCCCAAAACCAAAAAAAAACCCCCAAACAACCACCACCCCCCCACAAACCAAACCAAAAAAACCCCCCAAACCCACCCAAACAAACCACCACAAACTAGGCTTGATCTCTAGATTGTCATTTAGACTATATTAATTCAACACAATGTAATTAAATGTGGCATCTGGGTAAATAGTACCACTATGAGCCTTTGAAGTAAAACTTGGGGCACAAAGGAGCTCTGGAGGGGTCAGATGCATATCTGTTAGAAAGGGGATTTTCCAAAGCACCAAGTTCAGAGCAAGGTCTAAGTCGATGTTAAAGGCTTGTACAGCAGCGTGCCTTTGATTAGAAGTATTAGGATCAGGAAAGCTTCATGTATTCTGCTATTTTAGCCTAAATAGATTGATGAATGCCGGGTCCTGGTTACTAGAGAACGAGCTGATGCAGTCATCGGGAATGGTACATTCTTTTCTGCTTCTTCTGACGCTGTTGTGCCATTGCCTTAGATGGAGCTGCTGCTTTATAGCTTTGAAAAGAACGAAGGGGATCAGCTTGGCACCATAGATCCGTGTTTGAGTTAACAAGTCCTCTATTCATTCTGTTAAACCCTCTGTGCCTGTGTTTATATGCACCTGCTCTATGGCTTTAGCTACTGCCTCTTGACAGTATGTATCTGCTGCCATTCAACTCTTCTGTTCTCAGGCACAGAATCTCTCTGAGGGGGAGTTAAGTTGGCAGAAGAGCATGCTCTTCCCTGAAGATCTCAAAATTCCTTCATTTAGCTCATCAGTGTTAAATCAAAGGACTTACCTAAGAGCAAATCTGTTGCAGAGTTAGGGGGTTGAACCCAAATCTTTGAACACTGTCCTATGCTGTAATCATTTCGAAACATTGTTTAGGTATTTTAAAATGTTTCTTAAATTCCACTGTACTTGTACATGAAGATCTAGCGAGTCACTCTTAAAATGTTTGCTCCTGAAGGAATGGTTTCTGCATCCAAGGAGAGCGTCTCGTACGTCCTGAATAAGGAAGGAGGTGGCCACGCGTCCGTCATCGTGATCGGAGGAGCAGAGGAATCTCTGAATGCACATCCTGGAAGTTTAACTTTAAACATCCTCAAGAGGAAGGGCTTTATTAAAATGGCCTTGAAACATGGGTAGGTTTCCCGTCTGGGCTGCTGTGGTAAGCATGCTTTGAATACAGACCGATTCTTAAATATAGTTCATATTACATATAGTAAACTCATATAATTAGAATTTGAAAGAGTTACTTGTCTAAGAACGTGCAGATGTCTGGCATAAGAGCCAGTCTGTCCACCTAGATCCAATCTGGGAGTGTTGAAAACTCCCTTTGACTTTCATAATTTGTAAGCTGTAGGTGTTATTAGCATATCTTGGTGTTTTGTTTCAGTTGTTTTTTGCACTAGCAAAGAGTAAGAATTATGAAACAATATTAGTAAACCTTGGCTGTTATTGCGGAGTGGAGCAGACATTCTTTTTCCTGTTCTGTAAATTGAAGTTATGTTAAGATAGAATTTTCTTATCATTTTAAGCAAACAAAAAAAATAGAATGCTAGGCCCTGTTTTATTAAATCACTGAAAATTGTGGTCTAGGAAGATTTGTTTTCACCTTTATTCTAAAGACTTTCTTTTGAAGGTTGTTATTTGCAAAAGTAAGTTTCTGGGAATTTTTTGTGAAAATCTCAAGGAAAACTAGCTTACCTTTTACTATCAAACAGCCATCGGTGTGTAACTAAACAGAGATGGTGTTAATATCTCTTGAGTGATTTACACAGTATAAGCTATTATGTTTGTGCTGGACTGATCTAAATGTCTTGTATACCAGAAATACTGGAACCAATGACTTGTTCCTGCTAAGCTTTCTGAACAGCTCCCAGGATTATATATTGACATGTGAAATGGTGAGAAAAAAAATATTAGTCTTGAGAAATCAGTAACGGGTTTTTAAGCTATTAAGTGGAAAAAAGGTGGTCTCTGAGAAGAAGAGCTCTGTTTTCACACAGGATGCTAAGGTCCATTTTTTCTAGAAACTATTTCGTGTCAAAATGTTCCAAGAGGGTTTCACTAGAAGTCTCATAAAGGACCTGTTCTCTGATAGAAAGTAACATTTCAGTCTAATTTGTACCCAGAAACCACACTTGTGTATTTAAATTAGGACTTTAGTGCCTAAATGACTCTACTCAATTTCAGCTCAACTGCTGATTAATCCAGTGGGATCCTAAACACTATCAGTAGCTTTTATTTTTTTTTAACCATAAATTTAGAAGAATATTTATGAGGTTTTTTTTTTTCTTTGAGCACGTCCATAAATGTCTGATCTGTCAGATCACAAAGGTTGGTGTTTATCTCTCATCTAAACTGATTTGGATTGAGAAACTAGATCCACCTGTGCATCTCATGGCCTTGATTTCAAAAGCATCCTCAACACACAACAACAAGATCAGGACACTCACAAAACACGGGAATGGCTACTTCTTTGCTTATGAAGTCCTTTGTTTCAAATGATGGTTCTCCTCTTTAAGAAAGAGGCTTAGTTGTCTAGAGCCCTCCACCAGGGTGATAACGCCTGTCTCTGCCCCAGTGACTTGAAACCTACACCTCACACATGGTCACCTTAACCACCAGGCTACAAGTCATTCTGGATCTGAGCACCGGCAAGAAAAACCGCTTCTACGTGAAGCGTAGGAATCCTGACTTCATTTCTATACAGTAGGGCTGTGGGACAGTAGGACAGCATGACTGTAGCCATTACAGCTCTTGCAGCACTGTCGGCCATCCTGAGCTCTTCTGCAAAGACTCTGCGTCCAGTAATTGCTTCTGGTTTTAACATTTTGTTTCGAACAATTAACAAAATATGGAACAAGCTTCCAACTCACGTGGAAATGAAAGGGTGAGGGAGGCTTGCGGGAGGCGGATGAGAAGAACCGCCTGCCATCGGTGCCTGCATATGTTTCTGGTGCTTTTGATCTGCAGCATCAAATACCAGGAGAGGAAGGGGCGATGCAGAGACCCGTGCTCTCTGGCCCTGGCTCCTGTACTGCCAGCACAGAGAAGCTGTGGTTCCTCAGCTAGGAACTTGTCAAATGTGGTCTGAATATGTCAGCAAAAGTCCTCTGCACTTCTGGAAAAGGCATTTTGGTCCGAGGTAGTACAGATATCTGATACGAGGTGAAGAAATCCTAAAGACATGAAACAAATGATGAATCAGCTGACTTATCTTCAGTTTCACAATCCTAAGTTACTTATTTCTCTGTCTCAGCCTCCTACAGAGCATCTTGCAAAAGCCTTTACCAGGTTAAAACAAATCCCAGTCTCAGGGTGCTATTGCGCCACAAGATGTTCCTGTTTGTCTTAGTGTTGTAGTAAAAAGTGGAGTATTTGCACAGCCACAGTATGTACCAGGCTTTCCGATATTTCCTCTGCAGGTGGCTGGGTGATACATGCTCTATTTGAGAAAGAACCTTTGAGCAAACACCAGTCAGAATAGTGAGTGGGAATGATAGTCTTTGGGGGTCCTCAGGCTTGAGAAGCTGGAGAAGCAGTTGTTTTTTCCATACAGGTGGGTTTTGATTGTCCACAGTACTTTCCAGCCAGCTCTGTCCTAGGTGCATCCTCCTCAGGTGTTCAGAGCTCTGCAGTAATTCATCCTGACAATATTAGAGCAATGCTGCTATTTTACAGTAAGGTTTTTCTCAAAGATAGCATGGGCTGAATGGAGCTAAGATACGGAAGCTAAGACTTAAGTAAAGCAAATAAAACAGCTCTGTATCCTTCAGAGACTGCTTAGGATTACCCTGCTCTTTTTTCTTTGAACTGTGTAGAATACTATTTAATGAAACTAAACATTAATCAAAAAGCATACTGCAGTGAAGGTTTGTTGTGGTTTAACCTCAGTCGGCAACTGAGCACCCAGCCGCTCACTCACT